GTGATCCTGCAATCTGTACATGTGGAAAAATAAGATTACGAACCCCATTTGAAGCAAATGTATGATATGTCAAGATCATTGTAATGTTTTGAGCAACTAATAAAAAAATTTAAAAAAAGRGAAAATTAGGATCCAGGAAAATTATATACAGAAGAATAGAAGACAAAAGTTAAATAATATCCTAAGTCTAACAGTTAAACATAATAATTCAGAGACCACAACAAATTTGCACAGGGTAATATTCTCCCAAAATAAATCAGAAAGTACCACAAAGAGTGGGAAAATCATGTATGCTCATGAAAATACACAAACCCACCTGGAGAGCCATAAAACACTTGAGAAGAACCAAAGAACCTTTTGGAATTATAGATCAGCTTTTATAACGGAGAGATCACCTGTCTGTGTGCAATGATCTACACATGACTCATGAGCTAAAAGTCTGGTCTTTTAGTGTGGTGATGTTGAGAGCTATTAGAACCTTTACAAGGTGGGCTACATATAKGGAGAGGTCACTGGAACTGCTGCACTTGGGAGAAGTGATGTAGTTCTTGTAGGATCCTAGTTAGTTCTCTCAAGAAGGCTGTTATAAAATATCAAGCCTGACCCCATGTTGGCTTTGTTATAAACAGTAGCTAGATTATTTATATTTTTATAATATTATGCTTCAGGTATGGAATAAGTAATAAGACCTTCACCTCCTGTGAGATTTATCACTCTCACATGTACTCCCACCATATGACATCTATCATGGGGGTACTTCATTATGCTATTTAGAGTTACAGACTCCAAAATTGTGAGCTAAATAAACCTCTTTTTTTCTCCATTTATTTTTATTGATGTGTCATAGTTTTACATAATAGAATTTGTTGTTACATATTCGAACATATACACAATATAACAATAGAATTTGGTCAATATCATTCCCCAATATTTTTTTATAAAGTTCCAACCTCAGGTATTTCATTACTATAATGGAAAATGAACTAAATAACATTTTTTTGTTGTTGTTGGGGGGAATTCACAGAATGCAGAGCTGAGGATAAGCAGAAAGGCCCCAGGCAGTGTTATAAAGCAGATTCCACTCACCATGTCACAACTCAGTCTTTAATCTTCAATCATGAAACTAGCCAGAGTAAGTTAGGGATAATTTTTTTAAGTTACATACAAGATTAACAAGAGTACAGAGTTAGGAAGAAAGGGAAATGTCTTCCCTTTTTTACTGAAATATAATACAAATATAATAGAAATACATATAAAACCCTGACAAATCATTAAGTGTTTAGATGAGTGAACTTCCTCAAAGTGCAATGGCTTCCAYTGTGCTCCTTCTCCCCAGGATTTCTAATATTACAGTTGAGTTTTATCCGTTTATAAAGCAGTAGTACTCTTAATTTTTTTTTAAATTTAATGATCCCTTTATGCTTAGAAATTGAGGACCTGAAAAAGCTTTTGTTTAAGTGGGTTATATCTATTGCTATTTCCAATGTTACAAATTAAGACAGAACTTTTAAAAGCAGGAGAACTCATAAACTCATCACCATCAACTACCAGAGATAACCCATCATGTCATATGGTACCCATTATACATTTATTGCCTTCAAGCTCTAAATAGATTTTTCATTTTCAGTTCTATGACACTGGCCCCTCCAAGTGGTTCTTCTTTGCAAGGGGCATCATGTATACAGAAGCTCTGTTAATGGAGGGTGTTGGAGGAATGCTGCAGGAAGAAGAAACTTTACTTCTAATTCCCACGGGCTCCATTTGTTTTCTTTTCCTTCCTATGGTATGGCGCTCAGAAGTGTGGGTGAACACCCAA